GGCGGGGGCAGGAGAGACTTGGGGGCGGGGAAGTGGCTACGGTTGCCGCGGATCTGGACATCCTGTGGCCAGTCTCCTGCTTGGCGACTCAGAGCCTCAGTGCATGTTGCCATCTCATGTAGGAACCTGACTGTTGGCATTGCTGGCTAACTGCTGCAAAGCATAGACTTTTAAAAAGTTGATCACTTATACATTAAACTTGAGTATTGTACAGTTGTGATTATATTCAGATTTCCCCTGGTGCTGCTAAATGAACAATAAAAGCAAGATATTTAAATGGTGAGGGAGAGCCAGGTAAAATAATACTTTAGAAATAAGGAGTCTGGGAAATAGCAAATAGTAAGTTAAACCCTTTTTTCCCCTCTCCCTTTCAGGATCTGGTGAAAAGTCATTTGATGTATGCAGTTAGAGAGGAAGTGGAGGTCCTCAAAGAGCAAATCAAAGAACTAATAGAGAAAAATTCCCAGCTGGAGCAGGAAAACAATCTGCTGAAGACACTGGCCAGTCCTGAGCAGCTTGCCCAGTTTCAGGCCCAGCTGCAAACGGGTTCCCCCCCTGCTACCACACAGCCACAGGGGACCACACAGCCCCCAGCCCAGCCAGCGTCCCAGGGCTCAGGACCAACTGCATAGCCTTCTATGCCGCTGCAGAACTGGCTGCTGCTGTCTGAACTCAACAGACCGGAGATGATGTACTAGGGGGAATCTGCCTCCACAGTCACCCATTTCATTACTCGCTGCAAAAGAGACGTGAGACTGACATATGCCATTATCTCTTTCTTCCAGTATTAAACACCCATATGCTTTTGGCTTGAAGAAATTTCTTAGTTGGGTGAATTAGAGTTGAATAGAGAATTAGCATGGATATACTGGGACCTTGTGCAGCTTGGCACATATTTGAGAAATGGTTTAATTGATGCTGAGGAGCTGTGTGCCTTTCCATCCCTTCCCTGCTCCCCATCCTTACTTCCAAGAGTTGTCTCCTGCTTGCACGTAGTGTACAACATGGGTTACGGAGCAGTGGAGCTCCACTGGACTGTCCTCTCTCCTCTTCTACCCATGAGGAACTTGAGAGGGAGGTAAAAGGGAAGACTGATGCATAGTCTTGCTTAAAATGAGGGGAAACAGTTCATTGTACAAATTGATGACTGTCACCAAAATCCATAAAAAACAATAGTACTGTGTGCCTCTTTCTGAAACAGTGGATGACACAAAACTATTAAGAGTGACTAAAAGGTGACAGCTAGCTGGGACCTAAGCCACCTTACCATGAAGGATGTTTTGCTTATTATATATTTGTGTATGTAGTGTAACTATTTTGTACAGTAGAGGACTGTAACTACTACGTAGGTTGTACAGATTGAAATTTAGATGTTTCATTATCTGTCTGAAGAGGTGTGGATCGTCTTTATAGAGAGATCTACATAAAAAAATACTACATGAAGAAAACCACAAAGAAATTTTAAGAATTTGACAGTTAGTCACTTTGTGTAATCTGAAATCTAGCTGCTGAATATCTTGAAGTAAATCCCTGTTCACTGAAGTCTATGGATTGAGCTGGTTGAATACTTTGAAAAATGATCAGTTCTAGCAAATGAGATGAATTCCCAGTAGGGGTTTTTGCATATTACCTGTATAGTAGTTATATGCATACGTTTCTGTGCATGTTCTCTACACAGTTGTAAGGTGTCACTGTATTTAACTGTTGCACTTGTCAACTTTCAATAAAGCATATAAAATGTTGATAAACAAGTGTTTTCATATTACAGTGTTAACATAATTGCAGTCATTTCCACAACTATTTCTAGGTAAAGTTACAACTATTGAACTAGTGAAATCCTGAAGGAAGGGTAAAGGGGTTGGGCAAAGTAGGGGTCCTAGTAGTTTGACTATGGAGGTGAAAGGAAATAGACATTGCATTATTTCAGCCAGTAAGTGTAGAGAGACTTAGTGAAGGAGACAGAGTTTAGTTCTTCAGACTAGTGTGACCTGGACAAGTGGCTTCACCTCTCAAGAGCTGATGTGTGGGACATTGAAAGAAATCATCTTTAAGTTCCCCTATGGCTTTAAATTTCGAGGAGTCCATGGAAGTCTTAATTTTCCAGTGTTTAGCAGCTGAGAGGGGAATGAGACTTATTCTGTATGTAATTCCACTAAACACATTTAGGATAAATATATGGACATTAGAGAAGGTAGTTTCCACTTTTAGAATACCCTGGATTGGGATGTCTTTCCTAGTGTGGACTGAGGCTCCAGCTCCTGGGAGTGTCTAAGCAGAAGACAGGATGATTCCAGGGGTTTCCTCTGAATTCGAGGTGGGTCTGGAGAGCAAGGGCATCTCTTCTAATTGATTCCTTAAGACTGTAAAATAGGTTGAAATTTACAATGAGATGGAATTTTAAAGCAAATAGGCACCTGATAAGTGAGGCTGGGGGGGTCCCACTCTTTTCTAGGAGCGGTGCCAGCTCCTGTGACATTAAACAGGATGTTCTTACCAGCTCTGGAATCTGCCCCGGAACTTCAGCAATGGCCCTTTCCCACGCCTCCTCCACCCAGTGGGAGTCGGCACTGCTGAGCTCTAAGGCTTATTTAAGGCCCTGCAAAAGAAGGACTTCACTTTTCTGAATCCTTTATTTCTCTAATGTATAGCTGTTGGGAACATGGATGGGTAAATGAAACATCAGAGCTCCATAAAAAGAAATGGATAGCATGCGTGTGTTATAAACTTCAGAGTGACTGGTGTAGCGACACAGGTCATGGCGAAGCAGTAACTGCTGACCACCACAGGCTGGTGGCAGTTGCCATAAACTTGGTTTGGGGAAATGGAGAGGACTTAAAAAAAATCTTTGTCATATTGGTTTAAAGGTTGTATAATTTTGACTTAAAGAGACACTTATGTTGTAATGATACTTCTTTTAAAAAGAAAACTATAGTGAATAGAAATCTCCAGCCATTTCATCTTTTCTGTTTTCAGTGAAGATACTCAATGCCAAACGTGGTAATTGTGGGAACTTTGAGAAGTTTTATGTCAGTGTCTTATTAAGATAATAGAGAACTTACTTCTAGGCTATTTAATGGAATGTGCAGCCTTTTATTTAAAATGTGGCACTCCTGTGACATTTTGGGAGCTGAATATCGTGAAATAAGAATGAGTTGAAATCAAAAGGTGCTTTTTGACACACGTTCATTTAATAATCACTAAACATGCTTCAAGTCAGTGATTTGCAACCTTTGTTATCTCATGGCACACGAAAACTAATTACTAAAATTCTACAGCTCACCAAACTATTTTTTGCCAGTCCAACAAAATACTGGTGTAAGTTTGATTCATTCACACTGGTCCGCTATTGTGTTGGCTGTTGTCATTTTTTAAATTTGACAGTCTAAGGCAGGGGTGTCAAACTCATTTTCACTGGGGGCCACATCAGCCTCACGGTTGCCTTCAAAGGGCCGAATGTAATTTTAGGACTGCATAAGTGTAACTACTCCTTTACTAGTGGCGAGGAGCTCTATGTTTGGCCTTTTGAAGGCAACTGCAAAGCTGATGTGGCCCCTGGTGAAAATGAGTTTGACATCCCTAAACTAAGGGAAAAGAGGGCAGTGCCCCTGACTAAATAGTCAAGTATTGCACGTTTTAAAAATTCCTGTGGCACATTGGCGTACCTCTGGAAGCACACTGTTGCTTTAAGTGATGGACTTACATTTCAGGATGTTTAAGGTAATTTTAAAACGTATTTTACTACTTGTTTACAGACATGATTAGACCTTTGTTGGGCTGTAAGTTATTGTGTAATTGACTCCATCATATTTAACATTCAGCAGAGCAGGGAAGGCTTAACGGAAATGGAATGTTGTGCCAGTGCTGGGTGTTCTGACGTTAGCAGCTGCAGCAAGAGGGAGCGCTGAGCAGTGAAGGAGAAACAGGAATTTGCATGCTTTTAATGCGTGTCTGCTTTCTGTTTCAAATTAACAATTTTCATAACTCAGTAATTCTGTGCTTTTTGGCATACTTATAAAGCAGAAATTTATTTTTCATTTTGTGATGAATATGTAGTGCCAGGATCAATTTTAAATTTACATAAGAAATGTATAGAAGTTAATTATAACTAAAATTTTAATTGAAAATTAGTTTCAATAGATAGTACACTGCCTTTCTTTAATATAAAATAAGTAGTTGGAGCTACCAGGGGCCTGACAATGTAACTATTTTCCAACAGCGAAAATGGCATTAAAGATTAGAAACAAAGGCAGAGAAAATGAAGTTCCCTCCAGATAAAGTTGTCTGGAAACGGAAAAATGTGCCCACCAGTGGAACTTGGAAGCAGGTTATGGAGGAAGCTTCCTGCACGGGTGTGAGGAGAACGCAGCGCTGAGGGACAGGCCTGGCCCTTCAGTCACGAGCCAGGGTGACCTTGGGACAAGGAGTGGAACCTTTCAGACCCCTTCTCATCTGTACAGTGAGGAATTGGATCAGACCAGGAAGATCCCGTCCTGCCATAAGGTGCTACAATCCTCTGCTTTGTACGATGACTTTACTCTTTTGGCGGGGGGTGGGGGGGATATGCTGGTTTTGTTTTGTTCACTTCTTGGGCTAAAATTAATTTAGTTTAACCCTAGCTCTGCCAGTGACCTTGGGCAGGTGACTTTACTTGCATGCTGAAATGGGGACATGTTCTCTCAATAGCGTTTTTGTAAAGATAATGCTGGAAAGCAGTAAACACAGTGATGGGTTCAGGGCAAGTGGTCAAGGAACGTTAGCCTTTTATTTTTCAGTCATTTGTCCTGTTGTTCTTGTTTGTTCTTATATTTAATTTTGTGTTTTCTGTAGGAATAAAGTTGTGGCAGTTTTATTATTTAATAGCTTTTCATTTAGTACTGGCTAATGGTGGTTATTAAAATTTTATTACAAAAACATTTTAAAAAATGTCATTTGGAATATAGACAGAAATACACCATTTCTTCTGTGTCTAAATATGTAGCGTTGGCTAGATAGCTTAGTTGGTTAGAGAGTCATCCTGATACACCAAGGTTACAGGTTCAATCCCTGATCAAAGCACATACAACAAGCAACCAATGAATGCATAAAAAAGTGGAACAACAAATTACTGTATCTCTCTTTCTCTCGCCCTGCTCCCTCCCCTTCTTTAAAATCAACTTAAATAATAATACCTAAAGGCAGCGGTTTCATTTATGTGGTTGAAGAAGAGATTCATTGAGAATTGTTCATGTTTGAAAATCATATTAGTAGAGGTATATGCACAATTACAGGTGGAGTACATATATATGTATATCTAACATTATATATAAGTATATATAAATTTTATATATATGAAATCTTAAATTACTGATTTCTTATAGAGAAAAGCGCTGTGTAAAACAGCCGTGAAATGACCACCAGGCAGGCCCTAAGTCACCGGGATGAATAATCAGGCTTTATCAACAACTATTGGAAGGTTCAGTGGCCATTTTAAAATGGACAAAATTACGACAATATTACAATATAAGTCTGTACTTCAATCCAGGTGTTTTGGAAACATGTCTGTGGGGCGTGACAGAAGTTCTTGAGTGAAGGGAGGGTAGGACCTCAGGAGTGGGATGAACGACAGCTGGGGAGTGTGTGCTCCATCCACAGATCAGGGGACCAGGTGCTGCTTAGCTCCATTCAATTGTTGCTGTGTGGGGATTCAAGCACTGTGTCCCCAGGTCTTCCAGTTTTTAAGATCTAAGCTCTTTCTGAAAATTTCTGATTTTTGGGCACTGTGCAGACCAAACAAAAGTACACTTACTAAGTGCTGATGTGGCCCACAAGCTTTAAGTTTCCACTCCCTACCTTCTATACCTGTCTTGAGAGCTAGTCTCTAGTTCTAAATGGCTGCTCATCCTTCAGCACAAAACAACCTTTTTGATTATTGAACCTGGGCACAGGCTGTTGGGTAAGCTGTGTGTTACTTTATTCAGAGACCATTTACCGAGCACCTTCCCTGCATCAGAGACAGTGCAGTGAACAAGGCACACAGCCTCTGCCCTCAGGGACAGCCCAAGGAGTTGTCTTCGAGATAAATGAGGTGTTTTGTTTTCTGGTGAAATTTGCCTTATGTAATATAGTAACTGAATAATTTCTTCATTATTCCTTCTCAAATGAACCCTTAGCAAAAATCTTTCTGGGAGTTCTTTTAAGAATTCTTGTTAAATTGATAGCATTTACTCTTGGGGATATAAACTCCTTCATTACATTTTACAGCTAACTCATTTAGGGAGAAAGACAGATGTGTGTGCTACAAGGTTCTATAACACATGCCCTAACTTTCCAGGAATAACATATTTCAATGAAAGTAATCTGCCCTATTGTGTCAAGTACATTCCAGTCATTGCCCCAGTAGTGGTGTGTAGTCACTGCAGACTAGCAGACCAAGAAAAGAAAAGACTTAGTTTCTCTCCTTAAGGAGAGAGTGGATGTGATGATGACCATGACCAACAGCACTGGTTTGCCTGGGACAGAGGGTGTTCCTGGGAAGTGGAACTTTCCATGCTAAAATCAGGAAAGTCCCAGGCAAACTAGCACAAGTTGGTCACCCTAGATCTCATTTTCTCGTTTAGCTGGACATACAGCTAAATCACATCTCCTAGCCCCTTGAAGTTAGCTGTGACCACCACTTTTAATCAATGAATTAAGAGCTGAAGTGACCAAACACTTTCAGACTTGGCCCTAAGAAAACCGTTTTGGGGGATCTCCTGTGCTCCTTCCCCTAACACTGACCCGATGGAGATGACCTGGTATCCTTGAAGGTGACAGAGCCTCTGTCCGCCTGGGTCCCTGAATAACTACGGGGTGTCCTCCCCTACCAACCTGGAACCAGCCAGCACAGTCACATGAGCAAGGGTATGTCAGCCATTAGGCATTTTAAATCTGCTTGTTTTAGTGGCTAACCTGAACTAATGAAAACAAGTACCCTGAGTTCAGGTGCTGCTGTCAAAAAAAACTAAAATGTGTGGCGCTGACTATGCGGTGGGGGGTGATAATGAAAGTATGGGTCTCAAGAGGTTGGGACCCATAATGTGAACTGGTGAAACATTTTTTTAAAACTCTTGCCTGTGGTAGCTTAGGAGAGTGCCCATGTGGCTGTGAGGAGCCAGAAAGTTAGTGACCTCTGGCTCTTTATTGTGTTTGGCAAAGACTTTCAAGAAAAAAAATTGAGCTCAGGAGAAAGGAAAGGGGATAAAAGTGCATAAATGTGGGGCTATCGGGAATTGGAAACACTCACTGTGTCTAGATCCCTAGGAGGTTGAAATAAGGAGGAAACGCCAATTAGACTTTTCATTTAGATGAGGTACTTCAATTCACTCTTCAGCAAAGATGGGATAAAAGTATGGACTCCCCATATGTGCCTTTGGTTTCAGATGAATTCCAGGTGCTTGCTGTTTACCTGATGGAATAGTCAGGACAAAGTACGAAAACAACACAATCATGTCCAGAAAAATATTTTAGGTCTTGCTTCTGACACATTGAATTAATGGGATAAAAACAGGGAGAAGCTTTCTAAGTGTTTGAGGGACTTCTATTGCCAAGGAAAACAAGCTGGGTCAGACTTCAATAACATGTTGAAACCTTCAAAGGCCCCATAGGCCCCCAAACTTGCAGGAGCTGGAATTAGGTGAAGCAAGTGTCTTAAGCTGTATAGCTCACAAGGAAAGTGTTCCCCACGCGCCTCCTCCCCAACCACATACTTCATGTGTGGCATGGAGGAGACTGGACAAGAAAACCTCCCAGAACTAGGGGCTTGGTGTTTTAGAGAATAATGAGCCAGGGATTTCTTCCCAGAGACCAGAATCAGAATGTAAGGGAGCTCCCACTGCTAGGGCAAAGGGGTCTCCTCAGTGCCTGACCACAACAGGATTTCATAACTGCTGAGGGCTGGGGCCTACTGTGTCCCACATGCTGCCAATGGGAGTTTTATTATAGTTGTCATGCCAAGTCTCCACCATTGTGATTGTCATTGGAAGGGAAGATAAATTTGTCTTAATTCCAGAACTTCAGGAGCCACACTCAAACTCAATGCCTCATCTAGCAATCTTGGAGTTTGAGTTGGATGTAGTAGCTGGATGGGACTTTTGGCTGCTGCCTGTGAGGAGGATGAATGTGTTCTGCGAGGGCAGGAAGATAAAAAATACATATATATTTGAATCCAAAGGGAGGGCCATGCCAGAGACTGGTAGGAGTTTACCAAAAAAATGTCCCCTTCCTGGGTGCACAGATGGCAGTTCCCATACTCCCTTGAAGCTGAGTGAGCCCATATGATTAAAGCCAAGGGAGCGTGGGCACACATGCTGTTTTGTCACTTCCTGATTCATAAAAACTTCCTGTGGGCAATCCTCGATGCTCCCTCACCATCAGCCAACAGGTTGGCAACAACTCTACTACCACTTTGTAAGCTCCATGTTGAAGATGGCACAGCCTTACCAGCCTGTGCCCCCAAATGACTGAGTGGAGCAGAGCCACTTTCTTGTCTCCTTACTCCCCAACCCAGAACTACTCGGAACTGTTATAAGAGAGTGAGGACAAATTTCAGTTACCTCTCAGACGTGCATTTCTCAGTCTGTTTCTTTAACTGGTACACAGACATGGACTACCTGAGCAATATTACAGTGTAATGGACATGGAGAACCAAGGAACAGTAGGTAGAGCGCGATGAGTTGAATACATCACAGAGGGGTTCCAAGAAGAGATGAATCTTGAGGTTGACTTGGAAGAAGCTGCAAAACAACACACAAGAAAGATAACTTTCTACATTGTTGTCAAAAACAGTTGCCTTCCAGTGATAAAGAATGAAATATCTTCCTAGGAGTTTGAAAAAAAAAAGCTATGCAGTGAGAAGTATTCTGCTGAACTTGTAAAGTGTAACTTATTTTGAGAAACACCAATGGCAAAAAGCCAGCTAAGATCAGAGGTCACAATTCTGGGATCCTCAGGCCATATCAAGCCTACTGACCAGACCTGGCTCTCAGACATTCTTTTACAGTGTTTTTTGGATATCATTCCAAGTTCTGGCAACCTTGAGTCTATCTATATTCCTTCATGGTAATAATCAGCTGATGCTGAGTCATAGCTGTTGTCCACTGTGGCCTCCAGCCTGCTAGAGCCCACCACTCCTGTGATGGCCCCACGCTGGCAACTGCCATCATTTGTCACTCATCCAGTTACATACTTGACTTGGGTAGGCATTTGAAGCTGTGTCTCAAAGCCAGACTTTAACACCTGATTCATAAAGTTTTGTGACAACTCATTTTAACAATGTCTTTAAAATTCACATAATTTGGACCCTTAAAGAAGAAAACAACTAGACCTTGTTCTACCTCTTGGGTTTTATTTTCCTTCATAGGTACAAGCTGTTGTTAATAAGCAGAGTTATGCTTTTTCCTTCAAGGTATGGAGTGGTTGGACTGGGTCACAGCATGAAGACCTGCAGTCTCCTGGGGAAAGGAAAGTGGAACCCATTTGTTATTGTTATTGCACATTACTGAGCAGTTACTATGAGCTAATCAATTGAAATGACAGTCTAATTTTTCCTTTCATCAGCCCTGTGAAGAATGTATTATCCTAATTACAGAAGAAGGGAGAATAACTTGCCAAGTTAGTGTGGAGAGCTGATAAATGTGATGCAGACCAGGTGTGTGACACCAGGGTCTGAGCTGTTAGCCACCATTTCAACCACTCTGAAGCCAGGCAGCCCCATCCAGTGGAGCATGTCTAAGGCCTGTGGCTGCCCCAGTGCTGGCCTTCTGTCCACTCCTCAGTGTGTGTCCCAAAGAGAGGTGAATGTGGTGGCATAGGTCAGGGCTGGCAGGAAAACCCACCCTGCTAGAAAAGAGCAATAGACAATCTCCTGCCATGAACTCTTCCCAGTCTGTCAAGCTGCTTGGCTAGTAGGACACAGGGACTTTGAACCTTGTAAGGGAATTTTGCACTACAAAGGGAAGCTTAGGTACCATTTGAGTCAGAGAATGTGTCAAAGGCAAGTAGTCCTGCTTCTCCCTGTCCAGCATGGCACTAGACAGATCCACCACGTAGACAAGACAGCTGCCTTTCCCACTGCAATAGCAGGGCCGCTTGTCCTAGAAAAGCCAGCACTGGAGGATGAAATGTTCCTATGAAGGATGTTACTACTCATTCATAAAACACACCACGTTAATTAAGCACCCACAATATGCCAACCTTAGGGAGTCCCCCTAAGTATCCTGGGTACAGCAGTGAAAGCACTTCTGCTTTAGAGGTGACCCAGTTCAGAGGCACAGATATATTAAGTATTATTATAATGCAAAAGACTATCTCTCAATATTTTGGAACACAGTAGAGGGAAGTTGGGTAACTGAGGGAGGAGGGAAGAAACAGCTTCAGAAAGAAGGCTTTGGTCTCCTAATTTTGGTTTGAGAAGAGGTGTTGGAGTATCATCTGCCGTTAGCTGCAGAGTTCATTCTCCCTCCTTTCTTTGGGAATCCCCTATGAGGCCACAGAAATGGCCCTGCTCAGCATCTGCCCTTAACTGGTTATATGACCCAACCTGGTCCAGTCAGAGCCAACTTTAGCCCACAAAAAACTCAGAATCTTGTCCAACCCTTGTTTTCTCTGCTGGATTCAGTTTGAAAATGAACCACTTATAGTGCTGCAGCCCTGAGCAAAGAGCTTGGGGCTCCTGCAGAAGCCTTTTGTGGACCCAGAAAATGGAATCAGCATAAAGCAAGCTGGGCAGAGATGTTGTGCTTTGTGACTCATTTGAATCCTGCAGTCATCAGGTCTGAAGCCACATTTACACCCCTCCCCCCGACATTGTTCTTTTCTCTAAAGCTGATTTAAGTTAAGTTTACTGTGGCTTGCAAACTGGAGGGTCCCTAACTAATACAGGTACTTTCTCTACTTCCTTGTCAATAGATTTTTTTTCCCCACAGGGACAATTATTGTCGCATGTTTTGAATTCTCAAAGTTCTATAAGAGAGATAAGTGTGTTGTGAGATAAAGAACTACAGCCCACCTCCCATAGTTTCAAGTTGAGACCATTAGCATGTTATGGACTAATATCATGGATGAAGCACACATTCTTTGGTGTACTTAACTGGTCCTCATGGGTGAGCATTCTGTAAAATGACCAACAATAATCTACAGGGACGTAGTGGTCAGCTCTGTCTGGGGAGGTAATAGAAGACTCCCTGAGAAAGTGATGCTTAAATTCTACCTTCTAGGAAAAAATGGAAAGTGCAACGAGGTGTGGGGCAGGGGGTGGGGGGAGCAGAAGGAAGGGAGGGGAGGAATGTTGGAGGCATCTTATGAACTGGCAGAGGAATGGAAACTATGCTGGTTTCCTCCAGCTGCAGCTAGGCTGATAGGGTCTGAGTGGGGAGGGAAGCTCAGGCCTGGAGGGCCTTTCTTGCTAAAGAGTTGTAGGGAAGGAAGATTGTATAAAGTCCATTTATGAAGAATTAACGTGGAATGAGATTGTATGCAGAGGAACCCGTTATTGAGCCATTGAAATAGATTCAGGAGCAAGAAAGGAAGCACTCCAGGAAGCAATGTGTCAGGGTGGGGTGGGGAAGACTGTAGTGATTGGTGAGTGACAGTGCCATCACTGGGACAGGAATAGAAAGGTAGACCAGTCTGGGAGCTTAAACACACTTAGTTTTGAGTATGTAGAGTGAGACGCCTCTCAGGTAGGCGTCTCAGAGGAGCTTTCTTCTTGCCAGCCTGACTGACAGCTCTGGGACTATGGGAGAGATCTGGGCTGTTCAGCAGAGGCTCTGATGCTCCCCAGTGCCCATGCTTTTCTTCCTGAGCACAGCCAGGCTCCCTTTCTCTCCCTGCCTGGCAGTGATAGGGAGCAATGGAATGTGATCCGCAGACATGGCCCTGTAGCCACTCGGCACAATCCCTGGGCATCCCAAGCTGAGTGGGAGGGCTGTGAGGACGTGGGGAGTGCAGAGCTACAGACTGCAGGAGCTGCCTTCTGAGTGACTATGTTGAGCAGGGCACCTTCTCCCCAACCTTATTCCCAAGTCAGAATGAACTATGAAAAGAATAAAAAGTAAACTTGAACTGCTAAGCCCCAGATATTTTGGAGTGGGGGGTTGTTAGCCTGCCTTGATTAATACAGCTGAAGTAAGTGAGTGGAGAGTCATTTCTGTGCATGGAGGTGAGCCATGGGGCGATGTGCTGCTCAAGAACAGTCTAGTCCAGGAACAGAGGTGGAGGGTAGAGCCTGGGAAAACCTGGCTGAAGGAGGAGCTGAAGAAGAACCACCCACAGAGGAGGCAAAAACACAGGTGAGAGAGGCAGGTGAGCCCGGGAGGCAGGGAAATGTAGGAAAAGAGTGTGGGTGACATTGTAATGTGCTTGAGAGATGTCAGGACAGAGTAACAACAGAAAAGTGTCCATGGAGGTTGACAAGTAAGGGAGGTGAGACGCTCAGATGGGCTAGAGCAGAAACTTGCTGTGAGGGGCCTGAATGATGAAGGGGGTTGGAGGAGAGTTAATAAGAGGGAATCAACTTGTCTAGAAGAGAAAGGAGAGAGGCAGAGAAACAACTAAACAGAAGATCAAGGGGAAAATTAAAATAGGAGACATTTGCACATGCTTATCAATCACAGATAACTGACACTCCCTGAGGAAGCAAGAAGAAATTGGACCCATGACACTGGTGTCGGAATCCGGTCTACTCGGAGAAAAGACTAGGAAGTGAGGTGTGTGCAAGCACACATCAGTGCAGGTGTTGGGAAACTGCACCCGCCCCCCCCACCCCCAAGGACCAAACTTGTCCTCTGTGAACTGGGAAGTGGGGATCTGAGCATAAAGTTCAGATAGCAAAGGCTGAAAGTTTGAGAAAACCACTGAAGAGAGAATCACAAAGACTTGTAGAAGGAAACAATTCAAGTAAAGGCCTTTAGGTTCTAATAGCAAATCCAGACCCCACAGATCCTTGCAGTCCCCACTGAAGCCTCTGCCCCTAAGTCACCAGGCTGCAGGACTGAGGTCTGGGGCTGTGCAGAAGATAGGATGGACTCAGATGAGACTGGAGATCACATAAGTGATCAGTCCACATGTGAGAAAATACAGGCCTGGGTTGGAGCCATGGTTTAAAGGAAAGGTGTGGGGCAGTTGAGACTTAAAGACATGAAAGCTGTAAAGTTGAGAGGAATGCATGGCCAACTAGATATGAGTGTTAGGACATTGGTCCTGGGTGGGAGCCTGGGATAGACAGTGTGTCCTTAGGAGGTTCTATCCCAGCAGTACTGAAACCTACAAAGTTATACAACAGTCACATACTACACAGGAGTGGGGGTAGGTGTGTCCCTACACAGACTCCTTCTACAGAGGGGACACTGAGTCCCAGGAGCATGAAGTCACTTACCCATGATCACAGAGTCAGTGTCTAAGACATCCCTGGAATCAAAAGTGATTGGAAGGCAAAGAGAAGAGGTGGGGAGAAGAGAGAAGGGGCATTCATTCATTCATTCTTCCACTGACTTCATTCAGCAGGTAAGTATTGCCTTTTAGGTGCTGGGGCCACAAACTTGACCTAGTACCTGTCTTTAGGGAACTTCTAGCCTGAACAGGGACATAGACAGCCTATGGAACAAAGTGGGCAGGGTACAGTGGGACACCAAGAAGGAAAGGGGCAGTTCTGTCTGCAGTGCTGGAGCGGGTGGACCATGAATTCCTCTTGAAGCAAGCTGACTGAGTCTGATGAGGTGGCCCAAATGGAAAAGGT